TGGTTTTTAATCTTCTCCAGAATTTGCTGTGAGCGAATTTCTGATATTTGTTTTTAAAGCGTTGTAAGTCGTCCTTCGCTGTTGTTCAGCAAATAGGATAGGATATGTGAGGCTGGAATGAGGAAAAAAGTGAATGAAATGAACACGAGTAGGTCCTAAGGAGTTGTGTTTTACATTTATATATTTATATTGTATTTGGATAGAAATCATGAGATGCATTGACACAGTAACTGTTTCCTTTGCCTTATGTTGCATGTGTGAGCCAATATTTTTACCCTGCCCATATCCGTATGTTGTGTTCTTCAGCTAAGTTCAAAACTCACTTTGCGTGTAACGTTGCTCATTGGGTATTTATTGGACCAAACATAGCCATATGTACTGAATTAGAATGGTTGTCAGTGGAGGTGAACATTGAACGTTTGTTTTTGGAACTGGTAGCCACTGGTGGGCAACTCGAAGGTGCGAATGGTTCGATCGTGCACAAGTTCAACGAGGACGATCAAAAACGAATCAAAGTACATAATAAATTTGTATAAAAGATTTGTTTGTAGACTTGTACTGTTCTCCACTCTAATTCCCAAACAATATAACTTCCTTCCTACAATACTGGTGTTTTGGGGTTAAAGTCAAAGAATATTTGTCGGTTCGCAGCGTCTTCGTAACAATAGGAACTTAGGGATAAGTGCCTTGACAATGGTAGATGGGCTAGGTGAAGGAGGGCCTGATGTTGGGGTGTAAGGACTGAAAGTGTGTTTTCGCCGCTAACTTGTAAGCTGACCCAAATATTTGAAAACTTATTTAATAAGAAGTCCCGAATGTTAGTCTGACGATCTTCGATAGCGTACATGATTTCTAACCTCGTGATTGATTCAAGTTGTAAATTTAACTGCGCTCTCAAAGCAGTGCTAGAGAGTTTTTCCTAGTGTGCCTCTACCTACAGTCCATTGTTACGCTCAGTGTATTCTAGTCCATATCCTGAACGAAGAGCTCCTACGTTAAAATATCGTCTGGCTTTCACCGGTGTGAATTTGTCACTCACTCAAAACCAACTAGTGATAATGTGGCTTAAGCTCATTTCTAATAGAAAGGATGGCCTCACAACAATCATGAGAGTCAATACTCGTTGAAACTAACTGGATACGCTCTCGAAGTCGTTCACGCAGAGTATTTAATTCCTTTCCCAAAGTGGCTCCGATTGTAGCGCATCATTCAGAAATAGGAGAAATCGGAAGAGGTAGACCCATATTTTCGACACGCGCGCGATCCCGAAGCAGTTGTCCCTATTTTTGCTGACTGCATCCATGAAAATACCATCAAGTTCACTTTGGATAAATGACCGGAATCCACGAACAACATACTTATGCTTCTGGAGGTTCTCGGAGGTTGTTGAGAATAGTACCTGTGAACGAGATGGAGATGAATATTATTTCCATCAACGGAGCGAAGAACAAGAATAGGAGGTTGAGGGTATAACCTGATCAACCTTTTGAAACATTGGACCTACAGAAGGGAAGATATAATGGATGCCCGGCTGGCAGAATGAGAAAACGATTTTAAAACACTGGGTACCAGGTTGTGATGTCACGGTAACATGTGTTGCCATAGCGTCCATTCGTAAGTCAAATGAACAGGATGGTGTATCAGTGTCTTTGTGAATGCTTTCAGTCCTGCGAGCAAGCTCCCCGAATCGGGGATATCCTGTGAATGGTTACTACGTGATTCTTTTACTGTTACCAAAACATGACTTTTGGCGTGCAGGGCACTTCACCCATATCGGGATATATCTGCATCAGAGTAGACAGAGTAATTAATAAGGAAGACAGTGAGGTTACCCTGGACATCACGAATCTCATAAAAATAAGGTCGATAGACTCAGGAGAGCATGACGAGGTTACTAGTTGAGTAGCAATTTGTGTTACTAACTTGAAAGATAGTACTGAAATGATAGGTTTTTTCATAGAATTTTCGCTGGTCGGGCTGATGACTTGGTACTAAATCACCCAAGAGACCGAGGTAGTCTAAATAGGTGTAAATTAATAGCTGACTTTGATTCCCCACATATTGATTGGTAGGAGTTGGCATCAACTGGTTTGTATACCTGTTTTGACAAAGAACCCATACAAACTTTGCTCAAGTACACTCTTGTGCAACGTCCGCTTACACCAACACAAAATGACCCTGAACATAGTCTCTCTACTCCTGGCTCAGTGCTAACACCAGAGATAGGATTTGTACAACATCAGCTGCCTCCGACCGCTAGACGAAAGTGACGCCGTAGTAGTTATTTTTACACTTATAACTCATGATTTCATAAGTCTGCTTGCCCAAACGTTTGGAAGGCGGATATATTGGCAGTCTGGAAAGCAGAAACCTTATCTGACTGGTATGTCAATACAAATGAGACGGTCGAAGAAGCTGAGGTAAGATTTAGGATTACATAAAACTGTGTCACTTTACCTTTTTGCCTTTGTCTACCTCTTGAATAATAGCGAAGCAGAGGTTATCAGGGGAGCGAAAAAAGCCTGTGGGACCAGTGAGCTGTGACAAGGAGGAAGCGGTTTCGCTTAGGCTACCTTAAAATTAAAAACCTTCGCAAGTTTATTACTGGAAAAAGTATTAGAGAATACAGTTAGTGTCGAGCTGTGTACATTACCGATATAAGAAAACTTGTGCGCTGTGGCAGGGTATAATTCTATTATGGGTAAAATTTATTTTGATAAAGTCTCAGAGTTATACAGTAATATTTACTGATGACGTTTCAAGCACAACTTATTGCTCATAATCATATTGCATGTCGCCTTGATATGACGTGTTATCAGTTAATATTATTGTGTAACACTGTGTATATTATCCCAAATACTGCAGCAGTGTATTAAATGTAGGACTAAAACGTGCAGTGGATTACTATCACTGATGAGCTTTCGCGGGGAGGCGGCTGAATCAGAAGAAGCAAAAGAGGAAAACCTTAGTGACGTTAATGCCATCCACTCGTACGCTGACAGTAAGACTAAAACTAACAGTGGTATACCGCCAGTGATAAGCAGTACTAGAGAGGCGGTCGCGTCAGACGAGTAATGTACTATATCTCCTCTGATCGTACCACCAAGGTCATCGCCGTCGTCATCAAAATACCCTCACTGACGCAGTGGTTCTCCAACTATTATCTAAAATTAGGTGAGGAAAATCACCAGGGCCTGTAAGATACCAATCTAGACTCTTAACCTCCTTGAAGGATGTCATGTACATTCCACTTGAGGAAATTTTTGAGACGTCTCTGACTCTGGCTATACTACTTCATGGCTAGAAAGAAGCAACTGTGAGCCCCATCTTAAAACAGGAGAACATCCGAATGTAGCTTAACTATCGTCCTGAAAGTCTGACGTACAGTATCGCAAAAATGCTAGAAACAGGCGTAAGGGATCAGCTATTATACCGTATGAAGAAACAGAGCTTGCTGATGGAGGAAAACCATGGATTCAAGCCGTGACTATCCCGCCTAACAAACTTAGTGTCTGCTAGGGGAGATAGAGTAGAAACCTGGGATAAAAGCTCACTTTTAAACGTTCTCGTACATCTTGGTAAACATTCAACACTGTCTCATTTAGGTCTTCCTAAAAGACTAAGAGGTTTCGGATTAAATCAATGCTTACGCGACTGGTTTCAGGACCACCTACTAGGTAGAAGGCGAAAAGTAAGAGTAAAATGTGTATTGTCACAATGGAAAACAGTAGTCACTGGAGTATTTCAGGGTACTGTACTATAACCCACACTGTTTCTATTATACGTAAATGAACTACCAAAAACTATTATCTTATCTTCACTATTAAATTCGGAAGACCTTAAGACCTGGGAAACTGTAAATAATGATGGTGGTTGGTCGGTCATGCAAGGTGATCAGACGAACCAACTAAATGGTCTGACCTCTATAAGCTGGAATTTATTTCCAGGAAAAGTTCAGTAACCCACTTAGGTCAGGGGAGGACACAGAACTGCCTGATGTTGAGAGGCGAAAAAACCTAAGAATTATTGTCAGCCATGATTGGAAAGTAACTGCATATTGTAATGAAGCTGCGGCTGAGAGTGCTTCAGGAACTTAGAAGGGATTTCAGAAGATTAAATGAGTCTATGCTCAAAATACTCTTTGCAATGTGTGTCAAGCCTCGTCTTAAATACTGTACACAAGAGGTTTGCTCATGCTTCAAGAAGGAGGCACATGTCTTGGAAAGAACACAGAGGGCGGGAACGAAATTAGTGAGCATCACCTCACACCTTCCTTATGAGAGGAGGATGGGACACATAAGTCTCTTCCTACTATCTAATCGAAGGAGGAGAAGTAGTTTGATCTTCGAATATATTGATCCGTAGATTGATCTACTCAAACTTATCTCTCCCTCTAGGATACCTTTGCGAATTCAGCACATAAAAGGTGCTCACTCAGGGGACGAATAAAATACGGATAGAATTTACATTTTCATATACAGTGGTCAACTAATGGAATTCTTAACTCGAACAAGCAGTATCAGTTCCACTTTTGAAGGCTTTCATAAGGGAAACCAGACCCCTAAAGAGATATAGGTGGCAAGGTTTAACATAACAAGAGGCTACTCTTCTTCGTTATCTGCATATGACATATTTGGCTAACTACTATTCGCCAGCAGTTTTTACGACAGATTTCAAAAAATTTTTTCTGGAAATCACCCCTTTAAAAGACACAAGATTCAAAGACAACAAAAAGGTCTTGCTAACCGCCGACCATGTACATGGTCCGAGTTTCGATCACCAGCCGACGCACACCTGATATCTATGTTCGGCCTGCAAAATTTGGGCAACCGATATACATGCTAAAAATTCCATACTTGTACCAAAAATATGGTGTGGAATTAAGCTGTAATCAAAAATTAAAAAAAACAACAGAAAACCAGTGAATTCTTTAGGTCTGAAGGTCACACAGGTTGTTGGGCGGTCCTGTCGAAATTCTGTGGATTTTTTTGTTCAGAACCATGGGGCGTCGCTCGGTTAATACTACAAAGAGTGGGAAGTTTATGAATCCAACAGATCAAGCAAGAAAAGAGGCACGTAAAAGGGAGCTCAAAAAGAATAAAAAGCAGCGGATGGCAGTGCGTCATGCTGTACTGAAGGCTAAAGATCCTCTGCAGTTACTCGAAGAAACATCACTGTACGACAAACAAGGTTGGGTGTATTATGCTGATATTATTTTTTCAAAGAGTACGACCCTGACGTTCAGGCACAACTAAACGAAAGGGTTTTACAGGAAAAAAGAAAAAAACTATTGGAAACTTTTGATCGTCTTGTTACGTTATATGTAAATGGTGAAATATTCGTAATAATATTCTGCTCAGAGAAAAGAGGATTCAGACTATGCCAACCGGTTGCAGGCAGCACGTGAAGACTACGATAAACGACGTCATGAGATGATGCTATATTATGGTTAGTTAGTAGGTAGTCGTACCTTATGTTTGTAGAACAAGTTAAATTGGCAGAAAGAGTTAACGCCAGTGAAATTCCACTTCCTAACTTGCCACAGTCACAAGTGGGGATCGCAGCTTCAGACATACCATTGCCTTCGACAACATACGCTAAGAGCATTCTTAAGAAGTCAGTGGGGTAGGTTTGAAATATTTTCTGATTTCATTCTAATATTTTTGTGGTTAATTTATATGACTTTCCTATGGGAAAGCAGAAGTGTGTGGCAGAACTTGGACTTAACTGTCCAGTTTCAACATACTTCTCAGTTCATCTAACGCTTCTTAGTCTAATCTGATAATCTTTGTGGTAAATAAATTCTAAAAGGTGGATAAGTCTTTTGTCTTACCAAATGACTGCAAATTAATAGAACATTGTTTAAAATATTAATCATAAAAAAGTCCGAATAAAACTACGAATATTTAGGCTTGTTGATGCTCCCCTCCACAAAAAAAGTTTAATGAATCCACACCAGTTCTTTCCTGCTGTTAGCGTAGACTAGATAGTTATCGCTTTTGGACCTTGCGTAGATGTTGAAATTAATGTACGAGTATCAAATGTGAAAGCTGTGGGTTCTTAAGCTGTTAGAAAACAACAGTTTTGACACTTTCAATCGGTTAAACAAAATTAACAGGGTTATACAGACTGACTTCATACAAATGCTTTTTAGCGTGTAATATATTATATGTCGTGTGTTATGCTTGTGATCTGTCATCATTCTGCGGATATCTTTTCACTAACTGGAAATTGTGCTAGAGCTGATTTCTTTATCAATCATATACTTGTGTAATCTGTTTGGCTTAAATAATCCAGAATAACGAACTAGCTGATAAGTGTGGAACAAGCTTGTATTCGTTCAAACATCTACACATAAAAATATGGGAGTAAAAGTGTGGGAAGAAATTATTGTATGGAAGCCTATTCAAAATCTGTACGGTTATCAGGAGTAAATTTATCTGTTCCACTGTGAGTGGTTCAGAACTGTGCCATCAACTTTTGCATTTTGAGAACTCCCAATTGGGTAGTTTTCTCGCATCCGTATAATTTTAGACATGATTTACCTATTGGTTTTACCCAGCCTAATTTTACCAGTATGCTGTCAGTGGTCATGCTGTATAGTGCATATCGTTTTGTGATTCGTGCCAAGATATCAAAACTACTCCAATGATGATGCAAACTAGCGAACAAACCTTCTGTATGTGTGGTGAAGGTTCTCCATCAGCTAGTGTGTCGGGGTTCATCCAGTTTAACAAATACATAAATTGTCCAGCCAGTTGAAACATCCAACAACCTATTCTTTAAGTACAGGATAGTGCATACTAGACCTATAGCATTATCTACAGTTTAGGAGGTTAAAGGGCGTGAGATATATTCAGAGTTTTGTTCAGAAGGCCCAAAATATGCATTTTATCTGTTTCTTCATAGCAAGGGATTATATAATTTGCCTACTGTACTTAGGATCTATTCATGGTAGCGGGTCGATTCCTGATTTGGATTCGTCCATATCTAAACAACTGTAAGTATAGTCATTTTTCTGCTGACAATTTAATTTGAATAGAACATTAGGTTTAGTACTGTACTACCTGCTGAGAATTCTACACTTTCAAAAACATTTCAATAAGACAATTATTAATAAAGTTATATTGGATGATTCCAGTTAACACCATGGGGTGTTATCACCCAATAACAACTCTTCATAATCTTCTACAGGTCCTTTATTGATATAATACACTTTTTCTGCAGTCTATTCTCGGTTAGATTTCCAAACACTGCTACATCAAAATGCCACACAAAGGTCGGGAAATATGACAAGTTTAAGGCCCGACCGTGTGTGTTCCAGGATAGTTGAAGAATCGGTGGGTGCACCATTCTTTAAGCCTAAAACTTAAATGGTTCTCTTGGGTTTGCTCTAAACAAATTTCTTTTTGTCTCCATATGATGATTAAATGCCCTAGAATCTTAAGTAATAGTAATTTGATTTATTCAAGGTTCAGGAATATTCCTCTTGTTTCTTATAAACTGAAGTCACCAACTACTAAAATCCTCTGTCTGTGATTGAACTTTGGCTTAAAGTTACTAATTGTCCTCAACACTGGTTCTACAGCAAATTGTATATCGTGTTAGACTTCAGGCTTCGTATTACTGTCATATACATATGATTTTGTCACTCACAAACGTGATTTCGTTATCAAAAAGGTGCTTTCAGTCCCATTTGCTTGGAAGACCCGACGTAGTTGAACTAGTGCGTCGTTGAAATTTACGTGGTTGTTTCAGTAGGAACAAAACCGTATGTTGTCTACCCAAGTGTAGCTATCGATTCGTATTTCCATCTTTAAATTAAAACATTTTGGACGTTGGAACAAATCTTAACGCATACCGCTGGCTTGGATAAACTACGTCAACAATATATTAGTTACATCTCTAGCGCTTAATTCCGAAATTGTGTACTCTGGTTACAGAATGTCAGATTTGTCGTCTGTTATCTGTTCTGTTTTAGTTCTTTCTGAAACTGAAAGTTGTGTGCGGCTAGGTGTATAACTGCTGAATGTCTAACACCATAACTGGTAAGTAGTCGTTAGCTGCAAATATAGATGATAGGATATATGGCGCCTGTTTTATATAATATGACCTAAAACAAAACTGTGTTCATCACGTTTAAGATTTCTGTGAGAGAAAAAGCATGTGCCCAAAGAAAGTCATACAAAATAACAGGTAATAGCTAGCCCAATTCAAAATTATCACGAACACGTTTTGTAATTGCCTATTTGTGTATCTGCTTTTTGTTTTTTGACATTTTCGATATTTCTCAAACAGTCAGAATCCGTAAACTGTATTTTTAATTGTTTTTACTAATACTTATTAACAGAGCTCCAGGTCTCCCGCCTAATATACTTCCTACAGGACGTAAACCTCCAGGACCACCTCCAGGGACCCCTCCAGAGCTGTCGGATAGTGATGGAGAAGATGGTTCTCTGGAGGAGAATGTAACCAAACAACGTAAAATCCGATTTGCTGATACAAATGCTGTGGTAAATAATGGTATTTATATTAAATAAATATAACTTCTAGCCAGAGAAAGAAGAATTAGTCAATGTACCGCAGCCACCTGTCGAAAAGTTTGTCGGTGGGTTTCCAAGTGAGTTAAGCACCTGATTTGACCTTATTATTGATTAAAAAACCACTTTAGAAACTTATGTGTTAACTGTTAATGAAGGTTGTGTAAGCGCCACAAATCACCAGTTATGTGTTTTTTAGAGTGTGTTTGTAATATTTTCAGAAACAAAGTTAGAGGATTAACATTTTTTACGTAACAGACTGTTATTACAGATATTATTGATAATTGGACTACCAGTTAAATTTCACTCACTTTCGATTATACTATCTCCAAAATCTAATCGATTATTTATCGTGACGCATTTTAGTCTTTTAGTGATACATTCTAGTATTCATCTTTCATTTTATAGCTATTCCCCCACCCCTGTCTCAGATTCCTCTACCACCGCCCATGGCCCTACCATCATTCACCGGCCTTATTCGCCCTGGGTTTCCTGGAGCGCCTCAACCTGTTCCAAACCGTTTTGTTTACCGTCGTAAGTCAGTGTTTGGATAACTATTTTCTTGCTATTTTAGAGTTCTCAAAGTAAAATATTTTAATGTTTAACAAGTTAAGCGGAAACCAAGACTATAAATTTTGTTCGTCTTGGGAGCAGCCACTTTAAAATATTTTGTGTCAAGCTGACACCTCTCATATGGGTCTTATCCTGTTATGTAACACTGGATTTGTAAATTATTCATTTGTTCGTAATGTATATGCGTATTTATAAGGCATTATTATAAGTATTATCACTGTAAATGAATTGCTTGACCTAGGGTTCATTTCACTGTACCATCAATTCTAAAATGCTTACGATGAAATAGTAAAGTTTGTTTTCATCTCATTTTGAAGTGAAGATTACCAATCTTCCATTTTAGTATTATCATTGGAAATTAATCTATTATTTTAACTCTATATTGTATTCAGCGATCGGCGCCGTTTTATCAGCTCCGCCTAGTTTGCATCTCCGTGATACACTTGACAATACTGAGTTCGTTAATAGTCTGGCAGTAGCAAATAGTTTTAACAGCCAACCAAATCCAAGTGGAACGACAATAGAAGCAAAACCTCAGCTAAAGAATTTGATCGGTGATGCGACGCGTTTCGTTCCTACAGCTCTTAAAGTACGTCGAACTGTTCGTGATACTAGTGGTCGATTAGTTACCACTGGAGGAGGTACAAGTGCTCATGACACAGGAAGTGAGTTTCTTTTATATACGGTTATGAATAGAAAGTCCTTTGGATTTTTTAGGCCTAACTAAACTTGCAAATATTTAGCTTTAAACAGGTATATTATGAACTGTTGTCAACCTACACTCGTAAATCATTAAAGCGATTAAAAGCACCTGTTACAATCGCATAAATTGTAAATGTTTTCTTAAACTCCTTTAGAAGTAACTTCTTGTTAAACGTTTCAGAGGTATCTGTTGCAGTGTTTTCTGGTCAATATTTACGATGTGTGAGTCATTTTTATAACAATCCAGTTCGTGTGTACCAAAAGATGGATATATACATATATATAATATTCTGGTAGATACTTAGAAATAATTGAAATATCTGTCTGTCTGGATTCAACATAGAACTTGGCACCGAAGTGCAGCAGTTCGAGTTGCCACGTTCCAAATAGCACACAGAGGTAGACAAGAAGATGAGTGAAGAGAATCAATACAGTCTAACAAGTATAAGAGTGAAACAGAATGGGTAATGGTAGAAAGGAATATGAAAGATTACAGAGACTGAATACATCTGTGCTGGCCATTGACAACGATTTTGAGCCATGTCACCTATTGTCTCCAGCCATTGATTCTTAGAGTCCCGAGGGCCCCAAGCCAGAAGTCTGCATCTCCCTACCTGATTCAAGGATTTCATGGATTGATGCCATATTTTTGTTTGGCTACCACTTACTCTTTTCCAACCTGCACCTATATCAGCTAGTAATGCTCGTCGGGGGAGGCGGTGGTTAGGCATGCGCAGCACGTGACCTAGCCATCTCAATCTATGTAACTTTATAGCCTCGTCGATTGATTTTCCCTCTTTGCCCAACACTCTACGCCTAACGTCAACATTACTTACCTTATTAAACCACCTAACGTGAGACAGAGATCGCAGACATCTATTATCGAAAGCAGTTAACCTTTTCATGTCTTCAACTCGTATTGGCCATGTTTCAAAGCCATGGAGAAGGACGGAGCGAACTGGTGAGCAGTACACACGTCCCTTGGTTGATAGCTGGATGTCACGCCTACGCCAGAGATGGTGTAAGTCAGCGAAAGTAGCTCGAGCTTTTTGAATTTGTGCTGAGATTTCATCGCCAATCAGTCCGTTGGTGCTAATAAAACTTCCCAAGTAGGTGAAGTGGTCAACATGTTATATCACTTCACTCCCTACCACTAAGCTAGGAGTTGACATAGTCCAGTCCTGTAGCAGCATCTTACACTGCAGGGGCGAATCGCTTGCCAATTGAAATATTACCGTGCACTGAAATGTATCAGTTCAAGTTACTAAATTTACGAAATAGCACATAACGGCTAACATAAATATGGAAATGTCACACTTGTTTGTTACTTAGGTATCTGTTCGAAGGATACGTTAAAAACCTTATCCCTTCTGTCATCTGTTAAAAGTCCTCCTTTGGCATCATATATATGATGCGTTATGTTATAGTCCTACAGAGAATGATGAACAATTTTGTTGTATATTCGGTTATTGCAGCTGAGATATGCATATCTGAAAGTACTGCAGAACAACATCGTTTAGCAATTTTTCTGTAGATAAGGGATATATATATATATATATATATAATATACTGTTTAATGTAGCACTGCTGTGAGTAGTATTAATAAGTTTAAGATAATTAATGCTTGAGACTTTGGATATTAGACCACATGCAAAGTATCATGCTGAATAGTGATTATACTGATCACTTATGTTAAGTGAAATTCTAACTTATAGAATATTATATGGAAACATTGTGTACATACAGTTGTGATCTGTTGGTGCACCGATAGCGTAATTCAACTTATTGGACATTTATCTTTTGTTTTTTTATTCCTGAAGCATTTTATCGCTTCAGTAGAGTTACTCGATTCTTTTTGTTTATCGCGCGAACTTGTTTACGAACATTCCTAGTAAAAAAAATTTCTAATGTATATTTTCATCTTTAGAACAAAGCAACGCTGCGTACGATCGTGTTACAAAGACTGATGGTACGAGTACTTCTGGACCAGCAGCTAGCAAAGATGATGTATATGAAGAGTTCATGCGTGAGATGGAAGGTCTCATATGAAAAACAATTTTATTATCCATGTATATAGTTATTTTTACCATTTAAAACTTGTCTTTCATATATTGTGATTATTTGAATGTATTTCCTTGCGTATACTCATCTGTTTAGTTATAAATCATCGCGTCGTGCTAGAATAAATGAACGTAAATCCATTTACTGCGAATGTGCTAATCGTCAATATTGGACATTTATACGGAATTATCAGTTTAACTTTGTTTCTCTGAGGCTTATAGAAAGTAAAAAAAGCTGAATCCCCTTGTGTTTCTCGGTTATAAGTGTTGAGATAATATAACTCACTGGTTTAAGTGTACTCGATTTTCAATCAATCGATTCTAGGTTCTGATTCTGCACCACATATCAGTCTGAACAACTTGTTAGCATCATCATCCCTCACACAATTACTGTGCTGTACGAAGTTGATATATGATAAGTTTGTTCTGGGTAACTGACTTATAAAACTAACCGTAGTATGGAATGCTTGAGAACCAAATTTTTTCTAATTACCTTGAGAGAAAATTCGTTTGCAGCCCCACAGGAGTTATTTTGACTAGACGATGGTTTTAGTTTTCCGCATTTGTAAAATACTCGAACCAGGTTTCCTAACTTTTCATCATTCAGAGAAATAGCTAAGTCTTAGGTACCCTTATCCTTTGTGCTGAAGGCTCCGGTAACAATTATTGTTGTTAACACTTGTTTGTTTTCAGATGATTTGCTTTGTGTCGTCGTATGATCATTTCAGATACCTGCAATGTTTAGTTCTCAACTTTGGTTTTGGAAACTTGTTTGTAGTGATACCTGTATACATAGTCCTCGGTAATTATTTAAATTGTGTGAAATTTGTACGAGGAATAACCAGCCTCCCATAACATTTATCGTAATGCTGCACAGCTAACTTCATAATAGGTGTATTCCTTATATATATATATATATATATATATATATATATATTTCATGAGTATATTGTTGTACCTACAAACTTTTGTTATCTCTTTATATTTGTGCTTTAAGATAAAGCTTACTTTTCTACTTATCAATCGTAACAAAAGTGTGTCAAGCACGCCGATGTGTTCAAATTTCGAAGCCCCCTAGTTAAAACATCAAAGGTTGTATAAATGTGCATCTTTGACCAAATTGAGCTGTAAAATAATCAACTGCATACGTTTTAAGCAAGGTTTTGTGAAAAGTTCATAAATACGATATCAGAGCATGCGAAAACAACATCAGGTTGGGTGGTTTTCTACCTCATCTGACGGGGAGATGAAAACAAATTGACCAAAGACCTGAAAAATAGTGCATAAACAATCCATTTTAACATGGCAGTGAGTGAAATAGGAGAGGTTGTTGACTGAATATCTACAGTCAGACAGACCCCTTAAGACTGGCGGTCACCACTGCCCACAGTATTAAACATTGTCGTTGTGTGATCTGCATAAATGTGATTTGTCTACCGCTACACTCCGTCGTAATGAACAAAGTCAATAGTTTGTATTTTTACACCATTTAGTGCCGTCAGCTGTAGGGTTTGGTTTGTAAATACTTGAGGTTTTTTCATTCTTTCCATTTTCAACTCATATTTTCCACAACCTTAATATGAAGAGGAGTGTAGTATTGTGCCATATGTCTAATGATTAACAAACGTTCTCATATCTTATTGCTGTTATACCTGAAGTAAGTTGGGGTGACACAAACTGCCTGAAATCAATGCAGATCGGTTTTTTTGGTGCGTTGATGGATACATTTTAGTTCTTCAGGCTTTCTCTTCCTCTCTGACCTTACAAGTGTATGAATATACCTATCTGAAGGATGCAACCATTCCCAGGAATTTTTGATGAATGGTATTAATTTGGAAGATACGACTAGATCCACAAATACAAAATTTATCAAAAGATTACTTAGGGAACGGGAGTTCCAATACTGTCTTCAGTTTGAATAAACTATAATTTTATGTTAAGTTTAAAAGTTTCCGATTGAACTAAGCTGGAAAAAAATAATTGTTGTCAACAGTATTATTAAAAAATGACTGGTCTTTCATAATGACTAAATCAACTACAAAGTAATGAAGGAAGAAAGAGGATCTTCGAATAAATATAAAAGCACTATGAATCAATATGACATGAATAACAAGCTTCCAGGTATGTTCGTATAAACGAGTCGCTAAAAATAAACGTTCCGGTTGTGACAAGTGTGAATTTAGTTGAAGATTTAGAGATAATTAATTAACATAGTTCAATTTTTTGTTTGCCCATGTCACGTCTTTTGAAATCTTTGTATTTCTGGACAATATGAGGGAAGATGAAGAAATCTGTCCCCCTGTTTCACATGGCTTTCCACGTTTTGTCAAGCATTTTGTTATATGTAGGAAAAAGTCTTGTTTCTAACGGATTTGTAATGTAAATAATCCTTATACGCCATCGGGAGGTGTTGATGTGAAAGAAACTCCAACTTATCAAACACTGGACTTCCCGTTAACATAGAAAGCTAGCTATGTGGTGAAAGCTGTCTGCTCGCCGAAATCACAGACAACAATTAACGTCAATGTTTACGTCCCGAATCGGAGTCATGAGATTAAACAATAACAAGCTTAATCTTTAGGAACTCAACAGCTAATCAGAGCAGACTTAACGTGTGCAAATACGATTCGCAGATATATGGCCTGACTTTCTAAGAAACGGCCACAATGAGGTGACAGAATAACATTCAACAAGGAGACGACCAATCATAAGACGTTGCTTCTCCGCTAACAATAACGAATAATAATGTAAATAAAAATCTATAAATATCTGTTGACTTTCTCAATAAACGATCTGTTACCTGGTTCTTGTCTTCTGTCGTTACAACTACTTGGTAATTGTGTTTCTAGAGAGCAAAATTTAAAGCAGTATATTTATTATGTATATCCAGTAAAACTGGTTGTTCTCCGCCAAAAACTTACGTTAATCAATAGTAAAATAGGCGTGTATCTTGGATATTCTTTAAATGGTTAAAAGGGTATGAAACACACTAATTCATTAAATATTTTTGTTAGGACCGTAATTCTGAAATTTCAGTAAACCAGAATCGCATGGAATTGGTCAGTCAGGAACTCCGTTATTAAAAAACCTAAGCTAGAATAAAGGCATATCACCGTTACAAACCACTAATATAACTTCTTCGGATCGACATCTGCTGGTGCTTTGCGACCACATTAATCGGATACGAGATATCAAGCAATAAGCAACTGGACTGAAATGTGTCTCAGTTTGCTTAGTTTATGTACGTCAATCTTTCCTGGAAGATGTAATAACTGTCATATAATGAAGCATAATCGCACTATAGTTAAAGCGTCAATTCTCTATACACTGACATTGGTTGATAATTACAATGATCTATTTTCGCTCACGATTGACAGATTTCAAGTAATGTATTACATTCACCGTGGGCGTGCTGAGGGTTGGTGTTAGTTAGAAATAGGTTGTAATCTGCAGATTGGAGTATCTCTCTCTGTACATTTTAGCTCCTAATCGACATTTGATTGAGATAGTCCAGCAGTTGGTTGTGAAACCTGTAGTTGCATCTGCAAATTTGCGCTGGAATCCCAAAAAGATATGGCAATCCTAGCAATTTTTAGTTCGATGCTGTTTTTTGGTTGATACCTGGTAATGGGGTTCAGCATGCCTTACCTCCTACCCTGGACTCGTCAGCTGAATAGATGTGCATTTCTTAGTGAGTGATGGTGTTCGCATTTGGGCTCAAATTTTTTACTCATTTTACTCTGTAAACTGATGATTTTTGTTTAAGATCTGCAGTATCTTCACCTGTATTACTTGGTGAAATATCGGTGCTACTGAGATGCGATGTTGTCGCAGGGTCCCCGCATATCTGTGGCATCAGATAAAATTATTTTGCTTATACAATATATACCTATAGTAAATCGCTCCATAACACTTACCTAATCTACCTGTTGTCGTTCGGTGTCCGGCTTCAAGCCTATTAAGTGAAAAGCCTAAACGATGTGTTAGATATAATTGAATTTGAGATTTTCCCGTCGATTGATGATTATACCAAAGTGCTCGGCCTCAGGTTGACATGTTGGCTTCTTGTGCAGATGCTTCGACGATGTCTGGCCATTTAATTAGAATTTAGTTTGTGGATGGTGGCTAGCAGTGGAATCCAGGATGCACATTTCATCCTACTTGGGACTCGTCAGTTGGATATACCTGCATTTCCCAGTGAGTGGTGATGTTTCCACCGAGGCTCGAACCCAGCCCCATAATTTCAAACACCAGCCAAAGCGCCATCCACTAGACCACTTGAGCCACGAGGGCCACCTCTTGTGCAATGCAAGTACATGCAACTGACGAGTCCCGAATAGGACGAAATGCGTATCCTGGCTTCCACTGCTAGTCACCATCCACCAATCAACTTCTAATTACACGCCCAGACATCGTCTAAGCATCTGCACAAGAAGCCAACATGTCAACCAGAGACCGAGCACTTCGGTCCAATCAATCGACGGGAAAATGTAAAATTAAATAATTAATATGACCCGTTGGACAAGAGGTGGCTGTCGTGTCCCGAGTGATCTAGTGGTTTGAAACTATGGCCACTGGGTTCGAGCCTCAGTGTGAACATCGTCATTCACTTCGGAATGCAGGCACATTCAGATGACGAGTCCCAAATAGAACGAAATGTGCATCCTGGATTCCACTGCTAGCTACCATCCACCAAATAAATTCTAATAAAGATGTGTTAGATATTTTACTAGAAGTTTTCTGTCGTCAGCTAATTCATTTGTTGAAAATGGTACGGAGAGGAATAACGAGGAATTCAAGCTTAAAGTTAATTGCAATGGGATGGAAGTAGATTGCATTTGCAGAAACAAATATACAACAGTATTATGAACGAAATTCGATTAAGTGAATACGTACCTTAACAAGAGTTACAGAGTTCTGTATTCCTCATTATTGTTCTATGGTTTATTCGAGAAGTGAATAGTCAATTTGGGAACCATGGTAGTCTCT